ATTCTGATTTTAATATCTTTGGAATTTTAATTTGTCAGAATTTTGTTTATTGAGATTTTGTTGCCAAAATTTTGTATGTTGGGATTTTGTGTATTGGGATTCTAATATACAACCTATATTTGTATGCTAAAATTTTTTTGATCTGTTTTTGTAAAATTGGTTCAAATTTTATTAAGCTATATTCTTATTTCCTAAGATAAAATAAAAGTGCACTACATGCTACATTTCATAAAATTATTATCTTGAAAAACTTTCTTAACACTGCCTCAAAAATGAGTTGGCTATTATATAGTCTTTGTAGTCAAATTTAATAGTAAAAAAGATACCTTTACATAATTATCATAAAAGATTTTCATAATTATCATGTGAAAATATCTTTTATAAAATGATATTAAAGTTGGTCAAAGATTCATTATGATTAACTAATTTTAAAGACAACTCTAAGAAGAAAAGATAACTCAAAAACTTAGGTTTCATAGTATATTTTATAGCTATTATGTAAGTTTGTGCTCTTTGTTTGGGTTTTTTGAATATATAACATTGCAATAGCAAAGTATCATTATGTAATATAAACCTTTAGAAGTTATTATAGCCAATTATAGTAAAGATTTTTATAAAAATTTTTTTCTTCAATATCAATTTTTTTAAAATTATTTTAGTATACAAATTTGTATACTAAAATTTATAGTTTAAGGAATATTATAAAAAATTTACTTCTTATATATCCTATAGAACTTTTATAAAACTTTATACCTATTCAGAAAGTTTTCAAATCTAGGTAAGTCTTAGCCACTCTAGTAAATTTAGATTGCAGATAAATAATTAGTCTGAACTCTTATTCTTGCATATAATTTATATTTATTTATTATTATATAAGTTAAGTTTTTTTTATATAATTTCATTATATAACTATTTATATAAATTATTTAATAAAGATATAAGCAAAGTCTCATCTTAATTTTTTTTTTTTAAAAAAAAGTATTAAATTTATATAATAAATTTTTTTTGATTTTGTAAAAAGTTTTTATTAAATTTAATAAAAATAAAAGTGAGATTTTACTATTAATATTAAATAAAATAAAATAAAATAAAATATTTTAAGCAAAAATATTTAAATAGAATATACAATAGTATATATATATATATATATTTTAAGCAGTTTTGTCACAACTTTATTATTTATTATAGAATATACAACAACCTAAATTCTATATACAGCTATGCTGTTTTATACTAAAGTGTAGCTCACCTGGTTGCCTTAATGATACCTATGTGCGACTTGCCAAAGTAGAAGCAGCCTCTCTGTTTTATCTCGATCTACCTCAGATTTTGATTTCACAGATCACTGGCTGAGATTCACAGCCTGTTAAGACTACCCATCTTTCCTTTAAAACTTTTCTCACCTATATCCAAACAGATTAGTTATTTCTCTTATGTTTGTATAAGGGAAAAAAAATGCTGATTTACAACTAGAGGTTGGACTCGTTAAGAAAATTCCTACTCGGGTATTATTAAATTACCCGAGTTATCCGGGTAATTTATTATAATTATATATTAACAATTTCTACTCGGGTCCAACCCCTATTTACAACAGAAGAAAAAATTTAGAAGAAAAAAAATAAAAAAAAAATAATATATCAAAGAAAAAAAAAGAAAAAAAAAAGATATTCTAAATAGTAACTGAATATAAAGGGAACAAGATAAAAAAAGTAAAAGAAAAGACAAAGTAGCTTGACATATAATCGAACGAAAAAAAAATAAACAAAAAAATAGAAAAAAGAAAAAAGAAAAGATAACAGTATAAAGTTTGGCTAAGGTAGCCTAAAAAATTATATAATACTAAGTATTATTGTCTCTTATCTATCTAATACTAATATATTATATATAATTGGTACATGTATTGTATGACATATGCTCTAGTGGCACATGTTAAGAGTCGTGTCTACCATGTGACTAATATCTTGGATTGTTGTTGTGGCTAGCATCCCGATTTGGGTTGTGTAAACACTGTCAATCAGTTGATAGAGAGAGCCAAAATGCCCACTTTTTCGAAAAAATTTGGAGAGAGAAGGAAGGAAGATAGAGCAAGTACCAAATATATAGAAAGTTGGTAGAAGTTATACTGTATAGAATAAAATATTTAACCAAGCAACCGTTTCTACTTTCGTATCCACAGAGTCTGACAAAGCTTCTGAGTTTCCTTTACTATGTCTTTGCTCAATAGTACCAGGCCTGCCAAGATGCCTTGCTTATAAGCCTTTTATCTATTTCAACTCTATTTCAGTTCAGGACATACAGTAAATAAACTTTGTACCCAACAGCAGCTTGAAGAAGTTTTGTTATATATAAATATATTAACTATATAGTTTTTCATAGATTAGTTTATTTGGAATATTTGGTATAAAAGATTATTGGGAAGAGTTATCATACAATAGTATATTTTTGCTACTTTAGTACTTGTATATTTACAATATTAAATGTCATGGCTGATGCTAAAATTGGCTGATGCTTAAATTTGGGGTCCCAATTTAAATCTACAGTATAATGCCTACTAAAGTTCACATATACTTTTTTACTAACAACTCTACTCTCAAACCCTAACCTAACATTAAAAAAAAAACCCCTAATGAAAAGGCCTGAAAATTTTTTAAAATTCCATAATAAAATAAGTCAAAATTTTAGCATCAGCCAATAACAGCATCAACCACAACATTAAATTATTTTTTAGCTAATAAAACTTTGGCATATTCAATAAAAACTATATTTATTTCTTATCACAATTTTATTTTATTTTCTGTTTTTTTTTTTTTGTAAACTGCAAAATAAATAAAAGCATTTAATATATAAATTCAAAAGTTAATTCAAGATAATTTTTTAATAACATACCAATACCATATGCCACTGCTTACAGAGATTATGAAATTGCATATTCGTGTAGCATGGTTAAACCTGCCATTTATTGACAGGTTTTTCTCTAGCGACACATATTATAACCCGTCGTTTAACAACAGGTCTAACATACTAGTTTCATTTTTAAAATTAAATAGTATTCTCATGGGTACTGTGTAAAGAACCGAGTATTTATCTGATAAATATATCATATTAAAAGTAGTAAATCATTATAGTTCTACCCCGGGTCTTATTCAAGAAACAATTTGGTAGTAGTGGGGTATTATTTTGGGGATACTGTAAGCAGTGGCATACGGTAAATCTAAAATCTTTTTTCTCTTTTATATTTGTATTAGTAATACTTTGCTTTTTCAATATATACTAATAAAAAATGAATTTTCTACAGAAAGATTTTTTTTAAATCAGCTTGAATTAACAACAATATAATCGCAGTTGATAGGTTTTTTTCATTTAATATTTCTGCAATTAGATTTGAATACAATATTTTTTAGAATGCTTAAAATTTCTTTAACAGCACGTGAAGTAGTTTCATCAGATTCTTTTTTAAGTTTTATTATGCATTCATATAGGCATTTTTTTTCATACATTCTAAAATTATCTATGAATTTCTTATATCTTCTGGAAGTAATAAAAAAAGTCGTATACGTATAAACATTACGTTATATTATAAAAACACGTATGCTGTTAAACAAAAATAAAAGATTTTTTAAGGTAAAATTTTGTATCATATCGGGTAAGTGATCGATTTTCTCAAACAGGTATAACCGATCAGCGAAAATATATTTTCAATTCAGACAATTCAGATTTGCGAAACGTAAAATCTGCAAACAATCTAACTATCATCTATTCTTTGTCTTTAATTACTTACGCAGCGATTTATGAGATTTTATGAAAATTATGGTTTAGTTATAATTAATTAATCTTCATATCCGTATGGCAAATACTCCATTAGTGAGCATAAATTGAATTAATGTATAAATTAACTTTATCCGGTAATTTTCGGCGATATCCAATAGTAATTCATACTTATATCAAATCTAAATTTAAATCATCATAACGAAAATGGATATAATAATGTATTACTACATACATAAAAATGCAAGCTTTTCAACGATGTTCGATTTAAGAAAAAAAATGCAGTGTGACAATAATAAACAAAATTATTACACTATTATTACGATAACTAAAGACCTTTAGCTGAGAATTACAGAGAGAAGAATTTGTCGAAACTGCTTGGATATATGAAACATGTGATGTATTATACACCTGCATTGGCGTCTCCTGACACTTAGGAGTACTATAATATTTCCTGACCGGGGCCCGATTTCAAACATTCATCTCGAAATGTCAAATCATTAGCTATTTTTGATAGAAAATCATCCTAAAAAAGAAAATTTTAAACCTCTATACCCATTTACCGTTTACTGTTACCTAGCATTCATTAGAAATATGCGTGTAATTACGAAGATCTTGGTATAAAAATGCACATGGCTAGTATTTATGCAGACGCGTGTTTAATGACTTCATCTAAAAATAGATAAGATCTACTGAGAAGGCAGGATTCTCGGTATCCAGCAGAATTATTGATTCTTCAAAATTATTTTTATACTTTTCACTTTCTCTCCTTACATTCTTTTCTCACCGAGTGTGCACTCTTTGCCGCTTGATAGCAACGATTCAAAATATACATACTTTTTTCTATTCTCACCTTACTCCTATATAAACCACGACAGATATCTGTCACTTTCTTTTATATAACTATCTCGCACTGCGTTCAGGCAACAAAGAAAAAAAAATTAAAAAATTAAAAAAAAAAAAATTAAAAAAAATAAAATAAAAAATAAAAAAAAATAATAATATATAATTTAATCTTTAATATATAAGTGTTAAAAAAAGGTAAGTCAAGTATTTACGAACTTTCTTTATTACTGTAAACCTGAATTTGCTACCTTTATGATCAAATGAACTAACTAATGACTTTTCCCTGCAGCACTACCCTGTGATTCATTCATCTGCTTTCCTACTTTCTCAGTTTTTTCATCCCTGTTTTATTTTTACATTTCCAAAAAGGCATACATTATAACATAAGCATGCGTACTATATTACACCTTACTTTTATATTCATTTTCATAACGGTTCTTTTGGGATCTTGGAATTGTGCAGGAGCTAAAAAAATAAACATTAATAATAGAAATTTATCACGCCGGTATAATGGCGGCTCTATAAGTAGCGATAGTTCAGTAAAGAGACGACACTCAAATCGTCTTCGGATAAGAGCTCAACCAGCTCAAAATGCTTCTCCCGCGAATACGGCAAAAGCGGAAGTGAGCAATACTGTTCAAAAATCCGCTTCAGATGGTAAACTGATGGACGATAAGTCTGGTAAGATATTTTATTTCTTCCTCTATTAATTCTTATAGGATAAGAATTTTAAGTAGGGTTGTTAATGGATTGGGTTGGGTGGGTTGGGTTGAACTACCCCTCCAACTTGGTTGAGCTCACTCCGGAGCTGCTCCAGATTGGCTTAAAGTTACTCCAGTTTCATTCCAGCATATCTTTAACTCACTCCAACTTGGGTTGGGCTCACCCTAGAGGTATGCTACTCCATTAACAACCTTAGTTTTAAGTTACGATTAGAATAGTATTTGACATGAATAATATTAATTACTTATGGATAGGGGAAACTGGCATGCCTGAATTTTTTTTTTAAAGCATATCAATTATATTTAAAATTCATAATAAATATTTGATTAAGGGCTAAATCAAAAATAATACAATTAATATACAATATATATACATATTTTTATTATTAATATTTATAATTATTAGTATGCCTATAGTATGGCATGATATGAATTTTATTTAATAGCGTACCAAAATTTTTTAGCCATGCCAGTCACTCTACTTTTGATATACATATTATTTATCTCTTTTTTCTTTAATTTCTTTGATGACATTTATAACACAGTTCAGGCAAATGGACAGCCAACGGTTACCGTCTCTGACGGAGCGTCACCAATAATTGTTGCCGGAATTGCATCTTTTGGTGTTGTATGCGTTGTAGTTGTTGGCATTTTCATGGTCGTAAGCAAAAGGAAACGTCGGGAACTTACTGATAGCATTGTTGCTACGTCAGCTACTGCATGGGAAAAACAAAATACTTTTGAAGAATTGAAAGAAGAAGAAGAAACACCACAGCCTATAGGTTCATATACTGTCATTGATACGTATGTGCCGACATTGCCTGATGAATTGGATATACAACCCGGTGACAAGGTTACAGTTCTAGTGGTATATGATGATGGCTGGGTACAGGGAATTAACGAAACTCGGGGTGGTGTCAAAGGTGTATTCCCACAACATTGTGTAAACATGAAAGTTTCCTTTAACAATAAACGGTCAAGTTCCATAGGTGCATATACAATTGTGGACCTGAACTAAATTACGTCAAAATGACATTGTTATCAACATTATACATTTTATACTTTGTACTTTTCCCCAATTTTATTTTATACTTTACACTTTTCCCCAATTTATTTTATACATTGTACTTTTCCCCAATTTATTGTAATCTTTTTTTTTAAAAAAAAAAAAAATTTAGTGTTTGTATACAGTAACTTTTAGTGCTGTTTGTAAATCTTTGATTTTCGTGTTATTTATTTCGGAGCACGAAATAGAAATAGAAACATACTACAATTTCACAATATATAGTTTATAATACAAAAATGTTACATATTCCCTAATAAATTAAATAGACAATGTCGATATAGAATATAATTGAAAGCCTGATAACAGGTCAGGTTTTCCCTTGGTGACACTCAAATATAACAACTTTATTATAAGAACAAATGCAGTCTTCGCGACTATCATGCTGATTAGTTTTGAGGTTGTAATGACTACGATCAAGTTAATCAGTGCGCAAAATTGTGGAGTGATGTAACGATGGTTTTTTGTGTTGCCTATTACACAGGATTGTGTATTGATATGTATTCATGTTTCATACATTTTTGTACATTGCTCTCACTACTCATTGCTTTCGTTGCTATTTGTTGCTATCTGTTCTTTATTTTATTTTATACGTATGCGTACAGTACGTCGCTTCATTTTATTTCGCTTGGAACAATGTTCTTAATTATAGATATCATGTCTTTCGTGTTGATTTACTCCAATTTTTCCTTTTGTTGTTTGATTTGGTTTCGTTTCGTGTAGATCTATTCGTGTTTCGCGATTTTTGAACTGGTTTAGTACTTAGAATTGTTAGAATTGTTTAGAATTTTGTAATTATTTAGTTAGCAATAATAATAAATAAAAAAGATATTCTTTTTATAAACTCTGTTTTCATGATTATTGCTATAAGGTACCCGATTATTTTATGATCTGTATGAGTATATTTTGGAACTCGTTACGAAATATATATATTATTTTTTTAATATAATTCCACGTCAAATAATCCTGAAACATACCTATTAAGATTAATTTATTTACACATGATGACCAGTACAGCAATAAGAACTTCGTAATATGACGCGTAAACTACTTTATCGATATACAGTATACCACTCTGTTCAGGACCCGAATAATATACGAGGTTATATTTGGGTATCTTAATAAAAAATTTTTTGTAACACTTTTACATTGATAACTATATTTCAAATACTGTACGTATTAGACAATAAAATTCAATCTTAGTTATCCCTTTTTGAATATACTGCATGTTTACTCATCATCACAGCTAAAAAAGGTCCATGAAAAAAAAAACGTACGTAAATCTTTCTTAAATTTAGTGATACTTAAACAGATATGTAATAGTTTTCAATGTCGTAGATGATAACGGATAGATATCCCGGCCGATTCGATAAGTTATTTGTTTCGGCAGTGATAAACTTTTAATTTGGATGTGATTAGTAATATAGATATATTTTTTGCGATTGTATTCTGAACGATACTACATCCAAAATTAATTTTTGGATCCCTATCATTTCTCTGACATCGTTTTCCCCGACAATCATTCCCTGAAAAAATTTCACCGACAATCATTTCCCTGATACTTTAATTTCCCCGACAGCCAATTTTCCGACACTTTCATTTCTTCGACACTTCATTCCCCGACAGTAATTCCCGACAATCATTGTAGTAACGATTGTCGGGGAAATGAAAATGTCGAAGAAATGAAAGTGTCAGGGAATTGACTGTCGGGAAATGAATGTGTTGGGAAAGATTGTCGGTGAAATGCATTGAAAATTATAAACAAAATCATAGTAAAAAATCTATAAAATTATTTCATTTATGTAATATAAATTTTTAAAATATACCAAAAAGCAAATCAGTATGAATCAGATGAAAAATATTGAAACGGTTGATCTAAGGAACCATTAGCTTGTTCGTCTATTGTAAACATTTTAAAAATGCCTAATTTATCTGAAATAATTGCTATTGAATTTGAAATATCCAAATTGTCTGAAGTAATAGCAACTGAACTAGTATAATCTGAAGCGCAAAAATAGTGATATCGATATACATTATCTCAAGATATGCACATTACGTAATCGCTAATTACCGAAATCATTATCTAATCGGCCAAACAAACAATCATTCGGTCAATTTTTTACCAGATGTCCCAAAACAGCGAATTTTACGTACAACCGGATTTTAATGATAGGAGTATTTAAAATCATATATATTTTGATTAATACAAAGAACACTTTCTGGAACCTACTAAATTATATCAAAAGCACACGCTATCATATTAGTCTCGTGTCAGTATGCGTGCCATTTCATGTAGTGAGATTTAATAATCACGATACTAATTTAGTTGATAAAAAAAAGGTCATAATTAATTCATTACACCGGATATGAATCCGGATATCCGAATAAGTATATATTATCCGGCATTTTATGATAGGGAATAAACATAACACTAATGCATATTTAATTACAAACAGTGCAGGTATACTGTATGTATAGTGAAAATCATTAATCAAATTTTTTTATAATTATCGGTGGCGTAGTGGTAGCGTAAGTAGTAAAAACATATAAAATTTAGATTGCAATAACTCTTGAACAAGTAAACACTCACAAATAAAATTATATTTGTCGGCTTCATTTTAGTGTGCTTTTTAAAGTAACAACGCCTTTTTTAATTTTTTTAATTGGATTATTAGAAAAAAAACAAAGAAATTTTTTTCATGAGTTTGCCGGATAATATCTGGATATCCAATAATTCATTAGCAAAAATTTAGATACAGTCTACCCTGTCAAAACCGGTATGCATAGTGGACATATATGGGCTAGGTGCTGAGAAAAGGACTATTTTTTCAAAAGATGTTTTTTATATAAATCAATTTAATTACTTAAGACACAAAAGTATCGTTATTATAAGATTTACAACATAAAAATTGATTTTCTGGATCTTTTTTTTGTCTCTCATATGATTAGCTAATATTAATGGACCAATTAAATTGCAAAGTTTTTATATCTAAATGTTGGGTTCAAATGAGCTCATTTGAACCCGAAGTGGGTTCAAATGTACCGAATGAGCTCATTTAAACCCGAAGTGGGTTCAAATGAACTGAATGAGCTCATTTTACCCGAACAGGCTTATTTGAACCCGGAAATTAATTATGGAACAAACAAGCTTGGTGGATCGATTTTTTGAATATGGCAGGTTATCGGACTTATAACCTATTTATTGATTATCTATTTTAAAATATAACCTTAACGCCCAATACCTAGTTTTCAAATATGACCTCTTTCAAAAAAAAAATAGCAGTTTTTCAAATATGACCTCATATATATTATTCTGTTCCAACAATGCACACTTTCAGGCGATGTTCTAAGCCATACCTTTTTTTTTGATATGACCTTGGTCATATAATCATACAGTATGACTTTTTGGTCATAAGTTATATTCAGTGTTGGGCAATATGGACATTTGGACTTATTAAAAATAATATGGACAAATATGGACATAGTAATTTATAGACATGGACATATAGGTTTGGACATAGTCCAAATTTTTTAAAAAATATAGACATATACCAAGTGCCAACACTGGTTATATTGGTCATATTAAATGCTAATAAAAATTTTTTTGCTATGATTCTTACTACTGTATATTAAAAAAGGGCATAAGTAATCGTTATGACCAAACAACCTATGACTATCTATTTCCTATAAGTATCACCAAAAAAATTTTCATTATCCCAATTTTCAGATTTGAAACTAATATGTGAATTTCTTTTTTTTCTCTATCCAAGTCTTAAAAATAAATTGAATAGACTCAATAAAATATTAATTTAATCATATATTACGATCAATCTGTGAATAAAATTTTAACATTACTTGCAATCAAACTCTTCTGCTTTTCTCAAATGATTTGGTTTCTTCATTGTGATGCATTATACTATCTGCTCAAAAGATAATACATTTATATATCTTTTTAATAAATATATATACTGTATATATATAATCTTGAAAATATATTTTTTCTGATGCAAGGTTAGCTTTTTTAATGTCAAACCTTTTTTCATATTATACGCATAACTATTTATACCTTCAAATAAGTTTAGTTAAAATTAATTTCTATAAACGAAATTCCTGCTATTTTTTTGTTATTATTTAAATTATTTTCAGTGGATGTGTCCTTATTAGATCTCGAAAACAATGTTGGATGACCTTCAATAACTTATATGACCTATATGACTTTTATAACCACCATGAAAAAAGAAATTCAGAAACAACATGATTGTAAAGCTTTTTTTTTTTTTAAAAAAAAGAATATTATTATTACTAATATTTGATGAGATTATAATTATTAATGCTAACTTTTATTGATTATTAGATGATGCAATTATTTTTACATTCACTTGCATATATGAAAATAATTCATCGCAACTATGTTCATTCACTCTCGATGTTGGAGGACCAATTTACACAGGGTTGAAATACACTAAATAAGTTTTTAAGATTGCCACAAAGTCGAGCTCAATCGTATTTTATATTCAATAGTACTCGAATATAATTCTCTGCTAAATCCGATAGGGCTTTACCACAAAATCCCAAAAGACAGACCTAATACTGACAAAGTTAGCCGGCATTAGTTATATCACTAGCATTTAGTCGGTATTATGAAAATGTTTTTTGAGATTTTGTAGTAGATAGAGGAGTTGGTGTCACAATTAAATACTTCATATGGTTTTTATACTTTTGTGAAAAGAATTTCTATAAACAAGCTCAACTAGCAATAATGAAAAAGTTAATTCGATTTAGCTGGTTGATTTTTTAAAATCTGCAAATCAATTTCTTATCATGTTACGCATAAGCTTTTGATTATTACAAAAAGTTTTTTTTGTATATACAGTCAACTGATGTAATGAAGTAAAATTTTTAATTTTATATTCAATGTAAAAGAGAACTTTTTTAATTTTATATTCAATGTAAAAGAGAACTTTTTTTATATCAGAATTATCAGATCACTATATTTGATTGTATATTGCAAATAGTAAGCAATAAATTGTTATAAGAGTCTGTCGATAAACTTAAAGAAATTCTATTTTCTGACATTGCTTCTGGAAAATTCAATCAGGTATTATTGTACTCGATTGTAGTATCGACCAGTCAAAATATCACTACAGGATTAGTCAACCAATCAAATTGCAAAATTTACAAAAAGATGAAACCATGAGATTCAAAAAATATGTTGTAAAGCAAAGTGAGAGCTTCATGTTTGTTTAATCATTTTCAATATTAATAGAAAAGATAAGCCTTCCAAAAAAGTATTGTAAAATAATATAAAAAAAATTTTTATCAATTGTGTAATAATTTTATAACGTTTAACGTTTCCTCCTGTTGTAAATAGGCGTCTATTTTAAGTAGCCAATAACAACATTTTGAGGATCGACAGCCAACCAGATAGAGATTAGAATCGAAAAATTGTTCAAGATTGGTGAAACCCTTTTTCAGTTGTTCCAGAATTTATGAAAACAGCTGTAATATGATAAATGAGACACCCGTTGATCCGATATTTATAATCAGTAATTAAAAGTTGATGTAGAGTAGCGATCTGGATGACTATATCCAGATTTAACGCAGATATTTTTTAAACGGATATATCCAAATCTGATATTAAATCGAATCAGATTATCTGTTATCTTTTTTTAATAACGATAACAATAACGATAACGATAATGTAAAAAAATATTTTTATTTTTCTCAATGCACAACAACAATTCTATTGCTATAATTAAACAAGTATATATAAGTTTACAATTATATTATTTATATAAACTTATACTACTACATATTAACGCTAAATAATAACATATTATTCAGGATGAATAAACACTAACGCTAAATAACATTCAGGATGAATAAAAACACTAATAACATATTTTCAAGATGAATATTTTGATATTAATCAATATTCCTTTTAAAAACATCATTCTTTTAAAAGTTCTGGAGAAATTCTTGTTCTTCTTGATATTATTAAGCTACTAGCATCACTGAATAAATGATCACTTGAGGTAGATGTTGCTAGGATAGTTAGATGAATTCTTGCCAATTTAGATAGTACAATATTAGAAATTTTTTCGAATGTAAATTTCATCATGCCAAAAGGATCTTATTTTGGGCTGTCTTATATATTTATCAATTTTATTGGCTATAATGATTTTAATAAGTATAGTGTATATAGTGAATTTGTGATAATTATAAAATTCATTGGATACTTTTTTTTTCAAGTTATGAGTATTATCATCAAGCAAGGGTTCTTTTTTATTATGCTTATAATGCTGTTAATGAACAGTAAAAATTCTGGCAATTACAGACTAGACAAATCTTACTTGCACAAAAATAGTGGTGTTTTGTAATTATATTAACTATATTAAACCACTCTATTTTTTTAGATTAATTATACTCATAATGAACTCATATTATTGACAAATGCAGGTGAATTGTAAGAGGATTTTAAAGAATACACAGACTGGAGAAATGAGGTATCCAACAACATGGCTATTTTGAAAAGCACATTTAAAAATAGAAGAACACAATTTCATAATCATATTTATGTGAAACTTTGTAAAGTGAAAGTTAATGATTTGTTACAAAATGACCCATTATATATTGGAGTAATTGACTTTAGTTTAAGTAGATACCAATTATCTATAAAGATTTTATAGTATGAAATAGAAATCAACTCTATTAATTAATAAAAATATGTTAACTATTTTCTTTTAAAATAATTTTGTTAGAGAGAAAAAGCCGATATAAGAGAGTTAATCAAAAGTGCTAAAATTAAAAAGTTATGTACAATTTAGAAATAAACTTAGTTATATAAATTTGTATTATCATTATCAAAAATCTTAATATATAAAAAAGAAAGAACATATAATAAGAGAAATTATCAAAAGAAATAAAACTAAACATGCTTTATAGAAGTTTTTTATAACTTAAAAAATTCTCTTGTAAAAGTTATAACTTAATTAATAGACACTGCTATGTACCGCTTACCTGTAGGCTATGAAATTAAAATTACAAGGACTAAGAGCATGGTAGACATTTGTTTTAAGTGGTTAACAAAATATAAACAAGTAAACAATATGCATAATGTAGATCATTAGACTATTCTAGATTTTTTCTCCGATTGTTTAATAATACAATAAACAAATACTTAAAAGTATTTTATATTTTTAACAGATTTATACAACCTAAATATACTTTGTATAAAAACAATTTTTTGAGCTAGAATATTATAATGTATAATAAATATAGTCCAATTAACCTTATAAAAAATATAATCAACTGCAAAATCACTAAATTGGTTTAAAAAATCTTAAAAGTAATAACTTTGTAACAATAAACCAAATTACAAACATTCGAACTTTCTTAGATATGAAAAAATTATTAATACTAGCTTTACATTGTTTATATTGTTTAAAAAATTTACACAATTATTTCTTTTTAAACTATAATAAATAGGCTTTACTTTAATTGTTTATAGTTTATATTTAAGTTAGTTTATTATGTATTATATAAAATTACTACTATAATTTTTTTTACTATATTTGAACTTAATTAGCGAATATATAGAATAATAGATATTCTTATATTTTTTAATCAAATTGGTTATTAAAATTAGAGTTATATAATTTTGTGCCATAGCACTATAGCGCATGCATATATATCATGTGATTTATTATGACGTGTTTGTTTTCAAAGAAATTATATTACACAAATTACTATTATACAATTTATTCATTGCGTCATATATTACATAATAATAAATAAATTGTATAACAAAATTTCTATATACATAAACTTGGCAAAAGCAGTGAACGTATATATGTACGTATTCGGTATAATAATAAGATGGTTATGACTTATCGTATCATGCTATAGTTTATTTTGCTAGGGAGTAGACTGTTGTTAGTATATATATGTATGTACATATATACGTTTATATATATGTATAGTATATACTATAATAAATATCATGGCTAACATGGCTGAAGCTGAAAACAAAGAATCAAATAGAAGTTCAATTAGTAATATACTCAATACATATAAAAAAAAAGACAGGAAAAAACTAGAGTTGTTAATGATTTAGTCGTTATCTAGTAAATGTGAATGAAAATTAAAAATAAAGAATAAATCGAATTGTCAGCTTTTTCATTATTTATATAGCCCAGTATCGACGGGAAAAAAGAAATGAAGAGATACGATACTATAAGGGCACTGACATTTATTACGTAATATCCATTTACTATAAGAGCTACCCCTTCCCCCCCATGTAAGATCTATATTATTGGCCAATTTAGAAATCATATAATTTATTTGTGTAACGTAAGATATTGATATAGTACATGCTCAACCCCCACCCCTAAAATATTACGTAATAAATGTCAGAGCCCTAACAAATAAGCATTTACTTTTTGAATATTATATATGTAATACGTAGCTATTATATAACAGTTCAACAACTATTATTAATATTTAAGCATGTCCGATCAAACTTGATAAACAGTTAATTACAAGTATATATTCATGTAAAAATCTACATTTTACTACATTTTTTTTGATAATGATCTACTTTACCACATTTTTTGCAGTGTCTTTGTTGTTTCCTCTTGATCTTCGGTTCATGTAATGATTTCAAACGTTTACTTCCAACTGGACAACCTTTTCCTCGTATCTTTTTCGGATTTGACAATACAATTATTTGATTCTCTTTATCATCATCACTTCTTCAGATTCTTCACTTTCACTGCTTTCACTGCTTTCTTTGTCAGACTCTTCATCGCTTCTTTCTGTAAAATCCTGTAATAGTTTTATAAGCTGCTGTGACTTGGTTTTACTTTGTAATGCCTTATTAATAGCTTTTTTGTACATTCCATGCAACTTTCCATAGACCATTTTTTGCTTGGATAAATTGAAACTTTCTTCAAGAAAGTCCTTATTAACTTGTTAAAATACATATAGATAGTTAATCGATATAGGTGATTCTTGCTGTAACAGTGTTCTATTTTCTTTGATAAACTTTTCTGCAGTTAAAAAAAGTTCTTTAGAGCCATCAAAATCCTTATAATACCATCGAGAAGGGATAAGACGGATATGAAATTTTGCAGTACTAGTCACAAGCATAATTCGAAAATAATGCCTGCAAATTACGCCTTGTTGAATTATTGATAAACATATGCAAATATGTGAATGATTCTTTAATAGAATTATATAATATTTCACAGATGTTGTATTGCCAACCGCCACAGACCATATTTCAATAACATTAGATAACCCTCCTACAAAATCAATAACCTGTTTTAATGTAATTTGCTGTATTTCTATATTTATCAGATTATTAATTTCAGCTTCATAATCGTTAGTGTAACATTCCTATTGTAAATTCAAAGATGTTAATACATATTATACAATATACAGTATACATACTGTATTAAAAAATACAATTGAAATATGTATATACTTCTAAATCATTATCTTGAAGTATAATAGCATCATAATAGACTAACTGGTTTATTTCGTCTTTTTGTCTTTAAAGCATTATTGGTGTGAGAAATTTCTCTAAACACTCATCTATTGTTTTAAACAAGAAATTTGTCTTGTCTTTATTTTTTACACAAGGAATTGAAAGCTTCCAGAAGTTATATTCTTCACGCTTATCTTGCATGTCCAAAAGTTGATGAATTTCATTCATTAAATCACACAAAGAGACATTTGAGTTATATAATAGACACTTCAGACTTGCATTAACAGATTCTACTTGTGAAGTCGCAATCATTCTACCCATGAATTTATAGCTTATAAAGCTATATGCCCAATAAGTTTTAGTTTGATAAAGTACATCCAAGTAAGATTTAGCACAAGAAAATCTTGGTAAAGACTTTCAAACTGCTTTTCAAAGACCTCATTCATAAGGCTATTTCGGCATTCATAAAATGCCTCAAGAAACTTAGAAAAATTATCTTTGTAGATATTTATTGATATTTTGTGTTATATGAAATGCACAATAAATTGGATATGTTGAGGAAAAACCTGATGAATTACAAAATCAACTGCAGAGTTAGCATTAGTCATTATTACTGCAGGTTGCCTGTTAGTTGCTTTTAGTATTTCATTGAACATCCAGGTATGTGATTCTAAGCTTTCATTAGGAAGTAGTGCTTGAGCAAGAACAATGTTATGTCGATGATTACTAAATCCTACAAACCCATACCATAATGGTTGATTTTGTGTATTACATCATTTAAAACGCAATTTGAAAATTGAATCCAGTTTTCGACTTGTTCAGGGGTCATCCATAATAATTTTGTAAGTGAATTGTCATCATCTTTTTTAATATCTAACCAATTGGACATTGTAGTAGCATCATTCAATACTATTTCAGAAGTTGGTTTAAATTTTTGAATAACCGCATATAAATCTTTGGAATATATAGGTTGTGAAGGATACTTTCCCTCTAAGAATTTTCTTTGAACCATTGCTCCGAATTTACAATGTGTAGTTAAAAACTTGATATCCTCAATCATTTCGGGAGAAAATTTTTTTTTTTCTTCAAAAGCAATCATTTCAATATTCAGAAGGTGGTTATGCTCATTGACAATTTTATTAACTTTAATGCTGGAATTTGGATTATTAAATTTAGGACATGACGTATTAACAAGAAATTGACATTTGGTCTTTTTTGTAACTGTATCCTTTTCTGAATTAGAATTATAAGAACGACTATGATCACATAAATATGTATGTCATCGAATAATTTCCTCTTCACGTTTTACATGATCTTTCTTTATATGAAAACCTTTTTTTTTTGACCATTCTTTAAGAAATAGATCACATTCTTCCCATGTTGAAAAACCTTCTCTTTGAACAATTCCGAATTTGCAATCTCATTGGTACAAAAGTTAGGTTGGTCTGATTCGATTACTTGAGTTATGTTATTATTATTGTCTTTAGGCACATTATTTCTAGAAAACACTTCTTCAAACTCAGCTTCTTTAGTTGTATCAATATCTAGAAAACCTTCCTTATCGATCATATTACTGTGATAATGCAATTATATGAAAAATTATGGAAAAAATACAGGTTAGTTAAATAATGCAACGTGTTTGATTCTGAACAAAATAAAAAAAAATAAAACAGTGTAATGTGTTAGATGTTGAATGATATAAATAAGTGACCAAAGAAAAAAAATAATACAATAGCTAGATAAATAATGCAATGTATTAAATGCTGAATGACATGAACAAAAAAAAAAAAGAAATGAGAACGATTCAAAACAAAGTAACTAAAGAAAAAAAAGTGCAATGTGAACAACACAAAATGAAGTAACTAAAGAAAAAAAAATGCAACACATTATATGATGAATGACCCAAAGTGAAGTGACCAAAGAAAAAAAAAAGCGACTTGTTATATATTAAACAAAGTGAAGTGACTAAAGAAAAAAAAAAGCATATCTAACTACAATGCAACTGACACAAAAAAATTGCACATTAGTTAATACAGCATGTTAGATGTTAAACGATACAAAGTGAAGTAACCAAAGAAAAAAAAATGCAACACATTATATAACAAAGAAAAAAAGATACGAGTTAGATGTTGAATAATACAAAACAAAGTGACCAAAGAAAAAAAAGCAACATATTAGGCGTTGAATAAAGTAATCAAAGAAAAAGTAATATATTAGGCATTGAACGAAGTAATTAAAGAAAAAACAACATATTAGACGTTGAACAAAGAAGAAAATGCATACCTTACTATGTGACTGGTGCAAACGATAGTGGAAAAAAACGCAGGATTACTTAAAGGTAGTTATTTCGTACTTATTTTCTATATTGTCACATTTTACAAGAAATGAATATTTAAACGAAAAATGAAAAAGTTCGATTATGTTTTGATCGAACCCCTATTTATTATTTCTTACGCGTAATAACATCATCGATTACTGTCGATCACCCCTATCTATCAAAACAAACTCAAACAAACCTGATCTTACTACTGTATCTATGATCAGCATTTTATATAATCAGTGTAACTATGTGTTAAAACGCATATGCGCAAAATTATATATTTCTTAAAATTATATATAATATTAAAATAAAAAATTACAAAAAAAAAAAATTCAAAAAATTAATTAATTTTATATATATTTATGCATGTTACTATGTTTGATTGTTTAATTCACAACCGTTTCTCATTATTACACTTTTTTATTAAATTATTACAATTCTCTTTTATGTCAATTTCAAAGTTTCCTCTAAATTACTTGTCTCTGCAGATTTTTGGATTTTATATAAATACTATTCTAGCACCAATTTCTAAATAATAATAATAGTGAACTTGATACATTCTATTAGAATCATTCATATGTGCTGATTTTTGATAATAAATACTATAGATATCTTGTTTTTATTTCTTTTAACACTAATTCTATTGTATTTTATTAGATTCTAATTTTTGACAATGAATAAATACTTTGTTTTTATCTTTTTGAGCAATTGGTATATTGTTCAATAATAAGTAAATAGTAAAAATATTCGCTTATAAGTGAAGTTCATTTGAACAGAATTATATTAAGCCAAATCTAAATAAACAGAAAAATATTAATTTTAAATAAATCAATAAAGTATAATTTTTCACAAATTTTATATATTTCTTCTAAGTAACTCACCCTGTTTAACAGATTTTAAATATTACTTAAGCCTTCTTTTTATCTTTTTTGATTCTGATTTCATCTTTATAAGATTAAACATCCCAAAAACATTCTAAAAACATTATTCAATTTAGCAGATTTTTTAAACTATTCAATAGCTTATATAACTTAGCCAGGCTAAAAAAAAAGTATTGGTCTTATAATTGTTATGATTAGAACTTGAATCTATATATATCAAAAATTAGTGTTAATTGATATCGATACTATTTATTAAAATATTAGCATATTTTTGATGTTTATTAATTCAAGTTCTGATTATGATAATCATGGAACTAATACTTTTTTTTTGGCCCAACTAAATTGCATCAAAAGCTTTATATTTATCTTTTTTAGTACCAATACCATAGTAATAACAATAACCGAGATTAGTCTTCCAGAGATATTATTCACTTCTACAGATTTTTGGTACTATTCAAAATCTTTGTATTTGTTTTTCCTCTTTTTAATTTTAAGATATCCTATATTGCATATATTAATAGCTAGTGTTCTGAAATTGGGTTTGGTTCAAGTTTGATTCGGGTTTGGTTGAACTTGAACCCAAACTTTAAATTTTGTAGATTTTCGAACTCGAACCTGAACTGAACTTAAAATTTATAAACCTGAACCAAACTTGAACTTGAAATATTTGTTCAGTCTAAGTTTAGTTCAAAGTTTATGAACATGTTCGAGTTCGGGTAATAATTAAATCTAAAAATACTAGACAATATGTAACCTTGCATAGGACTAGAGTTCTAGTAGAATTATAGCTGTTTTCATAAATTCTGGAACATCCTAAAAAATTTACCGAAGTCTATTCGGCCAAATTTGATAAACTATTGATTTCGGTACTACACATATATAAATTTATAATATATATGTTTGTTATTATGATTTTCAAAATATATTTGTTGAAAAATAGTTAAAAGAACTTAGAAAGCTTCAGTTAAAGTAATTGCTAAACATTTGGGTGTTAATAGATCTTCTGTAGATTGAGTTTTTAAACAATTTTAAAGGTTTGGCTATGTTGATGAATTACTATCATTTTAAATAAACATTATATACTTTGAACTTTTATTATAATTATTAAGACATCGTTAGCAAATATTTCAATTTGTGTTGCATTTTTTTACAGCTTTTGATTATATTTAACCTTTTATTTATTTTTTTAGTGTCTACTTAGAGTATTATAGCAAACTTCCAATTTTTTTTTTTTTTATAATTTTGTATAGATACAGTATATATTAATAAACAAATTTGCTATACTATAAGTTATCAAAGATAATTATATAATGAAAAGATTCATCAAAACGAACTTGAAGTAAAAATTTTGTTTTTATTTATAATTTTTAAATTCAAAGCTGTTTATATATTTATTAAGAAAGTCCAACTTATATTCAAAAGTAAAAATCTATTAATTAGTAAAAACAGTTTTTTTTTGATATAAATTTTTGTATTGTACATATTAGATAAGGCAAAAAAAATTTTAATAAAGTGTTGAAAGAATTAACATTGCTATAATAGTAACTCAATAATTTTTTTATATATTGATTATGTACTAATTATACCGAAATCAATAACTTAAAGAATTCAGCTAAATAAACTTTGGCAAATTTTTTTAGAGTATTTCAGAATTTATGAAAATAGCTATAATTTGGCAAATTAATATGGTTACAGCATGTGCTATATTATTACTTTGTACTGTAATACTGCAATGCTATAATTATACATGTTGGCAAAACTAAAAATTTCAAAATCTTACCCAAATCTCAAATCCCAAATATAATAAAATTGTCCCAAATCCCAAATTTCATCTTAAATATAATAAAATTTGTTCCAAATTCCAAATCCCAATAGTTTTGCTAGCAAGTATAGCTATAATGCTGTGATGCTACAATACCACAATGCCTTAATGCTGCAATACCATAATGCCATTATATTGAAACACTATTGTAATTAAATATTATAATGCTATTGCAGTATTAAAAACTGTAATACTACAATAACATAAATAATATTCCTCTAGGGTTTATTGTTTAAAAGTAATCTTTTTTTTTTTTTTTTTTAATATTAAGGTGATCACTTAGGCCCTTGGCACTTTATTAGTACAAGCGGTAGGCCAATGTTAATTTTT